TCATTCATATATATATATATTATCTTGCTTCACATTTTTGTTTTGAAAAGTTATATCTCTTAACAGTTTTGTTATTTGGTGGTCTGGAGCAAAACTATACACATTCACACAATTTCATGTAAGATGTTAATTTTGGAACAGATTAAGAAAACTTTTTAATTTTAATAAAGCTTTTTTCCACTTATGTTACTCTGTTTTATAATTTATAATTTCTTCATAGTACGAATAAGCTGCCATTCTACACATTCACAAAACTCTAATAATGTAATTTTGCAGTAATATACAGGATAAAGCAATTGTTAAAATTGATAAGAATTTTAATTTTTAGCAAATATATAACAAAAACTAGTTGTTTCAATATAAAGATAAAAATTTTCTTTCAAAAATTTACACCATTATTTGAAAGTACTTACATCATGTAGTTTTGGTTATCTAATTGTTGTGCAGTTATACAGCAGACACCCATATTCAGATTATATTAATGCATTATAGATATAATTATGCTATTATCCAATACCAACTAAATATACATAAAACTAAGATAAATTGGTTTTACTGTTTTTGAGGAAAACACTGTTCTGTTTATTTGCAAAAATCTGTATTATTTAGAAAGAAAAAAAACTACTTTATAACTGCTTCTTGCTTTATTTAAATGTAGAGTTTTTTGCTTCTAGCATGTTACTTAAAGCAGCTGTCTGTCATGTAAATTTTTAAACAAATTCTATGTTAGACAAGTACAAATTATATTTTCGTATTTCATTTATTCTCATAGTTCTCTAACACTTTTAAAACAGTAATTGGTTAAAGATGATCAGTATATCATTCAGATATTTACTAAATCATGCTGAAATCTACTATAATTATTAATCCTATCTATTCAGAAGGATAGTCTCATCACTTAAGACATTTCAGTATTTTAGTGTGACTCTCTGAAGATTTGGATACTATAAACCTTTAACACATAATATTCAGTATCCCTTTAAGTTTAACATGTATGAAAACTATTATAATTAAACTTATCAGATTAAAACGATAATTTCTAAGTGTAAAGTATAATTTAAAGCCGCTTTTAAAAACTTCTAAGCGTAAAACAAATTTACATAAATGACTGAGGTAATGCATTAAACTGAGCAACTTAAATCTCTAAAATCAAAAGAATAAAATTATAGTGGAAAAAACTATTTTGATAAAATATTATTAAGAGGTTGAATTTTATAATTGAATTATTCATGCACCAAGTGTGAAAACCTAACTAAAATTTAAAAGATTTTGTGGAACAAGGCTGTATTAAAAAGTAACATGAAAAATAAAATTCACTGAAGAACTATGAAATTTATAACATTATAGCATAATAGAAGGTGGGATTTTATATTAATTCAACAGTGTTACAATCAAGATAACTTCTTAAAAGATAGTTTTAACTTTTTAAAAAGAACTGTAGGTTCTCAGTAATAAAATATCTATATTCTTGGAGGTCTATTCAATTTTTAAAAGATCTAGAAATTCACCTGTTGTAAAAAAAAAAAGTTCAGGAAATAAAATATATTCTAGAAACAAATACCCTTCTCAATCTTTTGGCTTTAAATATATTTAGAGCTAAATAACAAACACTCTAATTTAATTTCATTAAACTTTCCCATAAATGGAGAACATTCATAAAATAGCAAAAAATATAACTCAGATTGTATTTTTCAGAACAATTCATTTAACAGTGAATTTATCATGGTATCAGTATACCACATAAAACTATACACCAATACAAGTTTTGTAGATCTATTTTGGATAGATCAAGATCATGCCAAAATTCAGCATTAAGGTTAATGCCAATGTTGAATATTTCTATTCGTGCTTCACAAATGCCCATAGTGTATCATGTTTAAAGTAACAGTGGAAGACTACATGTCTGTTTCCTATTTATTCCCCTATATATACACCTACTTATGAATGTAGTGACTTTAATTGGTAATTCAAAATTGCTCATGTTCTACAAACACCATTCACTCAAATGTCATTCTTAAAACATGTGGTGTGCTCAGTTATTTGAAAGTTTGTTTTTCTTAAAGTTCTTTTTAGATCATATAGCAAAAATAGGTAAATCTTCAAGCAAAAGAGTTTATATAGCATCTTCATAAAAATAAATTAATCCCTTCCCAAATGAACTAATATCTTTTTAAAAAATAATTGCAATGATGACATTTTTAAAAAAGAGATAAACTGGAAAATTTGGATTATTCAGTCAATATATTTACCCAAGGAAGTGACAAGACATGTATGATCGCAAGGCTATAATCCTTGAGTTCAGTTGCTCACATAAAAAACACTAAAACAGATGTTCAAATGCACAAAATAGACATCAATGATTTTAATCTCAACATTCAGTTCATCCTTTTGAGTAGAATACTTATTTGAATTCATTTTATAATCTATACTGTGTAAAAGTAAGTATGTTAAATATTTGTGCATGAGGAAAGTGAGGGCTATTACAGATGTTTTTCAGGCATATTGCTAGAAACTTTGAAACATGTATGGTTTTTATATTACAAAGACTAACATTAGGCACTGGTACTTCAAATTATTAGGTGACTATCAACAACAAATTCTAAAAATGTGACCTGCTTTCGGTATATTGTATTTCAATGAAAACAACAGAGATATCTTAAGCATATGTAAAAAGTTTCACACAGATTAGGTCTCCTATGTGGTCTAGCCATATATTTTGATCAGGTTTGAATATCTTAAAAAGACATACTTTTACTTCATTTCAACTGACACACCCACATAGTGTCTGTTTAATTATCAGCTCCCTAGTGCCTTCAATTGAATTTATTTTAATACAAAGAAAACTTTAGGTTATTCTAGGAAATTATAATGCTATAACTTGCAGAAACTATTTCAGTTTCTACACATAACATTGCAAAATCAATTTCCAAAACACAATTTAATTTAAATTCAGCCACTGCACTATACAGCCTTATGGCATCACAGCAAGTAAATACTTAGATCCAACCAATATCCATAGAAATCACAATGGAACTAGTGTAACTCTGTCAGCTTAAGTAGTCATAGTCTCCCTTCTGAGTTTGATTTATGACTTTACATTTTAGCAAATACAGGACAACTGCTTTGCCTTAGCTAGAGCTCTAACATAGGTGAGGATAGCTAAAAGAGGAGCTGTCTCTTTAAGATACCCTGCTCTGTCTCTGATCCCACGTGGAAACCAACATCAGCAGCACTTTCACGTTAACTTTAATATGATGCAAAGAATACATTGTTTTTATCTGGAGAAAACTATAGATTGCATTCTTTGTAAAATACAAACCAAGTAAGTATACTAGACCAAGTCACCGGTTCTCTCCCAGAAGAGAAAATCTCATTACATGTATTTTCTGTCAATTCAGTCTAAGGCACGCTGCTTTAACTCCGTATTGTACAAACAGATTGCACTTTACAAACAGATTGCACTTTACAGAGAGGAACCCAAACACCGAGATCCATAATCAACCTAAAGACATTCCATAACCAGATTTACTTTTTTATACCGCATTACATTTTAACTGGGAAAGGGACAGAAAGGCAATCTCGAGGTAATTCATTTCGCGTCAGCTCCCCCTTCTTCCAACTGTGTTTCTACCAAATCCCCCCCTCCCCAGACAAAGAACAGAAAAGGAAGGTACAAAGTTTGGCAAACGTAGCTGTTACCTCCTTTACAATCAGCTCCACAGTGCCCAAAGCCGTGCAGCTCGTGCATTCCCACCTCCCGCCACCATTCAAGGAAGAAAGGGGTTTTTCACGTTCTCGCAGTGTCGGGAATGAGCTGTAAAAGGGCTTTTGCCTTTCTAAAGCGATCATCAACAAAAATAGGCATCAATTTTAACTCCTTGCTCTCCGAGAGTATTAAAATCTCACATGAGGTTATGCGGGTTCAGTGTGATCTTTTAGGGGGCAATTCGGAAGCTCGAGCGACTTGGGGATTTTTTTAAGGAATTTTAGAGCTATTTTTAATTTTGTTATATGCCTCAGTTCTCCCTCCATTTTGGTTGTTTATGATACTGACAACAAGCTGTCCCTGCTCTCTCCGGATCTCTCCTGCTTTCAGTTAGCGAACCCCGCTCCCCAATACTACCCACCCTCAACCTTGCTCGCCTTCCTAAGCTTCTCTTCCAAACCCACACAAGAAAGGAAAAGAAAGCCTCTCGCATCCGCCGAAGTAAAAAAGGAGGCAAATTCGTTTCTTTATGCTGCTGGGGGGAGGGGGGGAGAAAAAAAAACTTTTGTCCAATGAAAAGAGGGAGAAGGGCGCTGGATGTCCCAAACTGACTCCAGATCCCCCTAAAGCTTCAGCTGCGGGCACCCCGGTACTCCGTCCGGCAAGAGCAATGCCCTTGCAACGTTTCTGCGCAAAATGTGTCCGATTCGGCGACACCGCTGAATTTTCATTAATTTTCTCTTATTTTGGGGCACCGCGGACTCTAATGTCTTCCGCTTCTTCCTCGCTGTTGCTGCTGCTGCTGCTGCTACCACTGCTGTCACTATATTCACAGCACAGACGCTGGAGCTCAGGGAAGGGAGGGGGTGGAGAAGACACACATACAGAGAGGAGAAGTGGGGGGGGGGGACTTTTCTCCAAGTTTCTGCAAAACTCCCCACTTACTAAAACAACCGCGCGGGGGGGGGCACCTCTTCACCGTTCCAAGAAACCCGGACCGAGGCAAAGGGGAGGGAGGGAAAGAGCGGGGAAAAACTCCCAGCCAAGTCTGGAGAAAGCGAGGCTTACTTTTAGGGTGCCTTCCCGTGCTGGACGCAGGGACCCCCCAAGATGCCCAGAAGGGCTAAAAAGAGATGGAGCCGTGCAAATCTTCCCCATCCCTGCTTCGGCTGCTGTTGCTTCGCTCTTCGCGTCCCTCCTCCTCCTCCTCCTCCTCCCCCTTCAGAATTTAAATAACCCTAATATTTCCCTGCTGAACCCCGGCTGCAGAACCCCTAACTCACAGCAGACTTACCCTGGGAGCCTCAGCATCCCTTCAGCGCCGGCTTCCCGCCTTTTACAGGGTTCTCCGATTTTTCTGTAATTTTTTCCCCATATTTCGTGCTGGACGCGGCGGGCCTGGAAATTGTTTGCTTTCCCCTCTTTCCAGCAGCCATTGTAGTGTATGCGCTGCGGTGCAGCTCAGCCTGCCGCACATGCCGCGCCCACACCGCCAGCCGCCCACACGCGCCGCGGGTTGGACACCTCCCCCTGTCACTCAGTCTTCTAGCCGCGCCCACTCGGTGGAGCCTTTCGCGTTCACAGCTTGCCCCGTTGGTGGGTGATAACGCCGCTCGGGATAGGCCGGGGAGGAACCGAGCAAAGATTGGCCAGTTTGAGGCGGCTTGGGGCTGTCTTTCAAAGAGCTCCGGTCGCCTGCATTGGGTTAAGGAGCTGTCATTTTCCACCGGGCTGCGGGGCCAGAAACGGGGTAGGCTGCGCCAGTTATAAGGTCGTTGCCCAAGCCGCTGACGTCTTTCGAATTCGAGACTAGCTTTCAGGTCGTGTGCTGAGTTTCTCGTGGTGGCTGAGGTAAGTATTCGCTCCAGAGCGGCGTCGTGAGAGCGCGGTATCGCCTTTGGTGCGTGGGGCGCCTTCGCCCGCTTAGAAAATCTTCGCTAGAGCTGCCTTCTTGGGGCGTCGCAGCGCCCGTGGCAAACGTTGCCCCCGGTTGTTCTCTGAAGACACTGAAGAATGAAGGAGAAAGGAGCTTTGCGGGAAAGGTGGCCGAAGCGGGCCTCGTCCTGTTTTCCCCGGTCCGTTTCAGGTGCTGAACGCTTCTTTCAGATCTCCCTCTTGTTGCGTTGATCCCGGCTTTCTTAGATTCGCTTTTCTTTCGTGGTTCCTCCACAAACGGACCGGAGTGACTTTAAGGGGTCATTAGCGCCACTCACCAAGATGCTCCAGGTTCCCATTGGCTAAATTGCATTGGAAGGCCCCGGTGGCAGTTCAGTCTACGGAGGCTCAATCCTAAATTTTCCCTCGATTCGGGGTTCGGAATTAGGAAAAAGAGTGGGTGCAGAAAGGCTTTCTCAGTTTCTTTTGCGAATGGCGGTGTACTCCATTGTGCGGAAAGTTGGATTCGAAGCTCAGAGACAGCTGTTTCCTTTGTGTTTATAGACTTCCCGAAAGCTTTTCATTGGAAAGAATGCTACGGAAGCAACGTATTTATTAAATTTATTTTCCGCCCATTTCACTATACCAGCAACTCTGGGAGGCTTACAATATAATAAAAGCAAAGATGTAAAAATATTAGAAACTATTAATAATTAACAGGGGTCATAAAACTAGGAACTAGTTTCTTCCATAAATTGCTAGCATAGAAAAATATATAGGAATGTACACAACGATGGGAAACGTTTGTACTTCTTTGCTAGATAGTTTGAGCTTGCAGTTAGTACCGGTCCGCACAAACAAGCAAAGCCCATCCGCAAGAGGCAGGCAGCACATAAAACCATGCACTCTTGTCCACGGAAAAACCTCTCTCCATGGAACCGGTCCCTGGTGAACCAAAAGATTGGGAACCTCTGTATTAGTATATAGATGGACTAATAAAAAATTCAGGACTGTAAATCCCAGAGTGAGACCACTTCCGTATACTGTCATTTAGAAAATAACAAGAAAGTGTTAGGATTAAAATAGACTCAGGGAATTTTTATTGTATTCTTAAGAATATTTGTCAAGTCTAACCAGAAAGGACATAATGCAGGGCATATGTAGACCTGAAAAAGTGTGTTTGGGAATTTATTTTCAGTGTTAGGGCTACTCTTCACTTCTGCAGCTATTTTTGGGAGGAATATGTTGATATTTGCTATTACCATTTTTAAATCATTGGGAATATAGGCATTTTGCCTATCTCCTGCAAGTTGCACAGAGATCTAATAGACTGGCCCTCAATTTCACAGAGCTCAGCCTGCATATATTTGTGTGTTTTCCACCAAGGAGGATTGCTTTCCTAATATAAGATATAGATAAGATAAGATAACCTTTATTGTCATTTTTTACTATGGGCATGACACACATCAAAAATGAAATTTAGTTGCCCACTCTCAAAGTGAACACATACATGACACACGCCTAAACATACTATATACAACATATACATACTATACACAACATATGTATAGACTTACACCTCTACATATACGTAACATATGAATATGAAACACTTTCCATCTTGAATATATATAACGGAAGGACCAAGCTTGAGAATTCACAAGGTTTAGACTGTTTAGGAATAGACTGTTAGCGTATAAATGCTTCAGCCTGAATCTGACACAAAAACAAAAACTATTTTGTGATGGTAGCAAGTCTGTAAACTTAATGTATCTTGTATTTCAGAAAATGAAGTTACAGTGGTTTTAGAGTTCACATACACTATAGTTTAGTTTTTGGTATATTTAGTAGTTATAGTTTGTAACATTTAAAAAAAATATAGAGCTTTAAATATAAGTTGTAACTTTCAGCAATCTGATAGTAAGCCATGTTGAATTTAGTATAACCTACATAGGATTAGATTGTAAATTTCACATGAATTGTTTACTGTGTAGATACAAATCTATTCTGTACAGCTGTACTGTATGCTGCATTATCATAGAAAATCTCTTTAAAAGCACAATTTGCCCTTTTTTTGCCAGAACTAGTGTCCAAAATACATGAATGTTTTTCCTTATTTTGAAATGAAGAAATGAATGACCAATATCAGCAGGTAAATGTAAGAATATTAAGGATTGAGGTAGTAGTCAATCACACAAATATTAGGCTGTAAATCACATCTAGAAGCTTGCTTTCAAATCAGTGTACGTATATGTCATGATCCCTAAAGTCAACCTTGACTTATGATGACTACATAGACAGATCCAGCTGGGGTTTTTTTTTTGGGGGGGTGTCAATATTTCTTACGTGGTTGCCACTGCCAGTACTGTGTTATTTGATTTGCCGTTATGACGACTTATATCCAAGTTAAGTGATATCTGTTGTCCCATTTCAAGAGAGTGCTATACTGTCAGGCTCAGATAAGCAGGTCCACATGTGAAGGTTCAAAACTACTGATTTATTTCTCAAGCCTATGCACAGGAATCTTCTCAGACAAAGGGTTTGCACCTGGATAAAATTAGATAAGAGTCAACTGCATTCAAAGGAGTTGGACTTCATCCTCTTGTGACTATGTAGACCAGGGGTGTCAAACTGCCGGCCCCTGGGCCGGATGCCTCACACACTTACCCCATTGCCAGCAAAGTCAAAACAGTTTGACATGTCTGATGCAGACACTCTATAAACTGATGTCCTGCCTGACTCCTCCCTTGATTCTGCTCATCTCCTACATATATACCATGTATCAGGAATCTGGTAGCAGTTTTTCAGATTAACTAATTTTATTGAAAGGAATAATCTTTTGTGTATTTTTGATCAGTTTGGTTTTGATCTGATGAAAGCAGCTGTGGTTCATGAAAACTTGTGCCTTGAAGTTTGAAAAGATGTAAAGACTGCTAAAAGACAGTCTTTACATCTTTTCAAACTTCAAGGCACAAGCTAACAGACTTCTGAATTTTGGCTATGCTAACATAGCTCTCCTCCAACATGAATGTAAAAAAAGGTATTCTTAATTTAGATACTAAAACTTGGAAAATTTCTTACTACTTTGTATTTCAAAGCTCAAATTGTAACTTGCTGCATTTTAGTTAAGCCAGTATTATATACAACAGAAGGAAAACCAGCCACAATTGATTTGGTCTGGAAATGATCCCCATGCTTTGTCATTTCCTTAATTGTCATTGAAAAGTCATTTTGTAGGAGATAGTAGATAGAATGACAGGAAACAGCAGCTAAGAAAATTTGGTCTTTTTAAAATTATAATAAAGCCAGATTTTTTTTCTGTAATATCTATTGCAATTGCTCTTTTTATTTCATAGCTTTCAGGAATGTTAGCCCAAGACCCCAATTAATGCTGTGTAGAAAAATAGGTCTTATATTGCCCCTCCAATATATTCAAATGACTTATCTGACTCCCCTATAGACTTGTCTGACCTAACTGCTCATTTCTTACCTCTAAATTCATATGGTAACCATACCATATGGAAAATTGTATATTTATAATTTTGGAATGAGCAAAAATATATATCTGCTTTATATTTCTTTCAAAAATATGCCAGTGCATATTTTCTGGAATCAGAATTTTATGTGAAATATGCTTTACTTCAGCCACCTTTGGTAGTTTCAAAGTTATATTTGCTTTGCAGAATATTGTTTTAAAAATTGTCACCTATTGCCATATTTTTTTCTAATTTTTAAATAATTATTTTTCAGAACTTTGTACTTCTTTCAAGGTAATGTTAAACCTCATAAAAGAAGCTACACTTTTTAAAAAATAGTACTGAACATACTAATGCATAATATGCTGATTTTAATTATACTTATTTGCAAACAATCTTTTTTCTTAATTCAAAATTTCCTACAAAACATGCATCTTCTTTTCTTAAAATATTATTTACAAGTCCCTAGGAAAAAATATTACATTTTTGTTAAGACAAAAGCTGTCCTGATATGTTGAAATTATCTTTTTTTAGCTGCTGTCCTTAAAAGAAAAACCACACACAGAAAAAAAACAATACAATATTGACTTTATGTCCCCAAAACACCGATTGCAGGATCATGACATTAATCCATGTTTAATGGTAAGTTTTCTTCTAAATGGATGCTATGAGGTTTTAATTTATTTTTCTGAAACCTAGCTTTACATAATAATAATGTATAAAATACTGCATATAGCAGTTGGCTGTTGGTAGTCTGTGTCTGTGTCCAAACGGAGACATGTATCCTAGGTATCTTAGTTTATATGTAGAATGAAATGGGGCTATGTTCTTTTAGATACATTTATCCAGGCAAGTGTGATTCAGAAAAGGCCTGAGCGTTTGTTTTTTTTTTAAAAAAACAAGTCTGAAGGGATTTTCTTGGCAACAGTTTGTGAAGACCTAACTAGTGGCAGTTGAAGAGATGCTGGGAATGAAAAGGATGTGCTGTGCTAGGACATCAAGGGTGGCAGGAGAAGGAAGGTAAAAAGTTGGGAAGATTGGGATGGTAAATGGTGGGATATATGGCATACATTGGAATAGCAGATAAACCAGAACATTGATGATGGATATTGACAGGATCCTGTAACTACAAATATACCGTATTTTCCAGCGTATAAGACAACTGGGCATATAAGACGACCCCCAACTTTTCCAGTTAAAATATAGAGTTTGGGCTATACTCGCCGTATAAGACTACCCCTCTTCCAACGCACACCAAATAAAAAATTAAAAAACATCAGATTTGATTTCAATATGGTACGCCTTTAACTGTTAATCATAATTGTTGCCTACCGCCCATCAGCTGTTCACCAGCTTGCTGCTTGTCAGCTGTTCGGCAGCTCGCCCTTCTGCGCAGGCGCGGCAGCGTATCTGAGCATGCGCGGCATCTGATGGCGTACGGACTTGTCCTTTTGCTGCTCCAGCGCCCAGAACAGTGCCGGAGGATCCACGGCTCACTCTTCCTTTCAAAATGGTGAGCTGCTTAGATCCTGTGCTGGTTCTCCTCCTCCGTCACCAGGCTGTCCCCCCTTATACCCGGCGTATAAGATGACCCTGACTTTTGAGAAGATTTTCATGTTTAGAAAGTCGTCTTATATGCCGGAAAATACGGTATTCTAAATTTGTTTCTGTTGAATTGCAAAATCATAAAAGTTTGGAAAAATGTCTGAACTTCAGTAGTTTGAAACAAAACATTTCCTGTTGTTGACCTTGCCCTCTGAAACAGTATTTTACCAGAGATACTTACAGTGCCCACACTCTTTGTGTTCCAGATCTGGCTCTCTTCTTCTTCTTTTTTATAAATATTTTATTAAATTTTATAAGGGTAAAGGGGAAGTGGGGTCAATAAGGGTATGACAAGGGGTAACAAAAATGGTTAGACCAGGGGAAGGGATAAGTACAATAGTGGAGTTGTCCCCCACAATAAGTCAACACTTCAGCAAGTAAACCCGTCCGGCTATACATATTCAATCATAGTAATTAATATAAAATAGCAATACTTAATATAATATTCAGATCTGGATCTCTTCTGATGCCTATAGTTAAAGTGCAAATATCTTTGTACCTAGATAATATATGAATTCTATAATGTATTTGCATCTTGTAATACAACAAAACCACTATAAAAGGAGTGGACAGCAATAATAAATTTAATTAAATTAAAATTTAATCATGATTTCTTTTTTAAAAATATGTACTAATGTAAGGCTTCTTTGAATGTAGGTATAATTCAAAATCTAAGTTTGAATGCTTTTTTGTTCATTTATAATAATTTATTAAAGATATTCTTTGGTTTAAGTCTTATATTCATTGTTTTTTTTTGTGTCACATATAGATGTATAATTCTGTTGGATATTTTACCTGAATTTATCACTGTAATAAACTGATTTGATATAATTCAAGATCTATTACATTCCTTTGAGTTACTTTTTTCAAATAAGTTAGCACAAAGATTAACCCCTTAAAGAACAAGTAAAATATAATTATTCATATATACCTATAAACAATGTATTTCTTGATAATAGAATATTGATTACATCTAACAACCTTAAATACTAATAATCACACTAATTATTCTAATATTTTAAGCACTTTTATTAAAAATCTTGAAGGTATCATAAACCAAATGTTTTTATTGGCTAATGTAATTTATATTTTAACCTAAAATCTTTTAAAAACATTTATACAAAACTTCGCTTAACAAATAACATGGGCTCTTCAGTGCTATTATGGTACTGTTTTTCAACAATAAGAATTCCATGTTTCTTTCCTTGCTTTCCTATAAGCTCTGTGAAGGAAGTTCCACTGATGCCTTTGCTTTGGTTCTGCAAAGAAGTACCACTAGATTTATTTTTTCATCTCCCAACTCCTTTCTACGAATTGATAAGTAATTCAGTTGAAGATGTAGCTGTTTTTAAATTTTAATTGTGATTTGTTACAGGTGATATTGTATGATGTTACAAAAGCTTTAAACAAACTTAAAACTATCTAGTCAGATGAGGAAATTATCTTATTTCTTGCATATTTCTTGGAGTTCTAGAATATCTTTTAGATTATCAGTTCTATTTTAATTTAAAACAAGCCAAAAAGTTTGCATCCTTATCAAATTTGGTTACATTTCTTGGTAACAATATTTTTTGTTGGGAGAATTTTAAGATACCTATTATCTTAATATTTACAAAACTATAGATTTAACTTTTAGCCTAATCTTAGTTTTAATGTCTTAATACTTTGAAGAAACATATATTTACACTACTGTTAAGTAAGATTTTATTCCAACATAATTATAAGTTTGTACTCTTATTGTTTAGTTGCCTTTCAACAAATGAATATGGTACTCTTCTAAATTGTGGAAACCAACTATTAGGTTTTATATTTTATTTCCTTTCATATTCAAGGAAAGCGATGCTTCTAGAAAGTGTTTGGAAGCGAATCAATCCAATAAGGATATGTGTGCAATCTATTTTTTAAAGTACAAAAGTTGCCGAAAATTTTGGGTAAGTAGATTTGAAAGGCTTATAAATAAACTTGTTCAGGAAGGGAAACAGAAATAAGGCTCTAAACCTGTCTCTAATCTATTCCTGTCTCTATCAATATTATTGTCTCTGGCGATATTAAAGGGTCAGATTATTTATTGCATCATTTATATGAATTTACATTACAATGACTCTGTGCTACAGAATCCAACAAAATGTCACAGTTTAAATGGTTAAAATTAAGATAAATTAAAAAAACATTATTTACACACAACAAATTAAAATAACCAAGTATACAATTTCCAAGGAAATTCATTTTCCAGAAAAAAATGAATAGTTTTCACTCATACTAAATGCTAACATTGTTTGGTTCTTTGAACCTCAGGGGCAGACTAATCTATAGAGATAGTGTACTTTCAATAAGACTTATCTTCACACTCACGTCTCACAATCTCATTGGCACTGGGATCCAAAGTATCTTATTCTGGACTGAATGCATCAGAATGGGCATATTCTGTTTGGAGAAGGTAGTCTGGAAGATAAAGAACTATAGAACTTTATAATAAAAACCATCAACTACTTGCAATATATCTGAGATGCTGTTGACCTGGCTTTCAAACATGAGTAAGTGGATTGCTACATGCTGTACCAATGGATGTTTCCAGGAAGCTTTTAAAAGAAACCTTATAGAATGTGCTGCAACAGATCACTCTTAAGTTGATAAGAGTGAGCGTAACCGTTGCTAGTGCTGGCTGCTCCAAAAAGGGCTGCAGTTGCCCCATTAGTTGAAACGAGGCAAGGGCTCTCCTAACCTCAGCCAGATTTTGTAAATGCAAGAGAATCTGGAAGTTGCAGCTGCTTTATCCTGTAAAAGAAGAATAGCTGACAGTATTCAAACAGTATTTGATATTTTACTTTATATTGTTTTATCCATCCATCCTCAAGACAGTTAATGATACCTACCACTTATCAGCTTTGCCAATGGTGGAAATACGTAATTGGATATTTATCTTAATACCTCAACCTAATTAATGAATCACCTGCCCCAGTGATTTCCTAAAGAACTTAAATGCAGAGCCTATTGCATCTTATAAAAGAGTGACGGGTTTAACTACTTATTACTATCAGCTGGTACACTGAGACTGTCTCTCCCCATTCCTCATAGGGGGATAATTACTTTGGTTGATAGTATGAAACACCTTTTAGAGGATGGCCCAGAACAAGCACTCTTTATATACAGGTCCTAATGAATTTTAACATTCATGATGGGACACCGGTACACAGATTGAATCCTACGGATATTACTACAATTGTGATAGGATACCTCTATCCTTTATCAACCTGTAAGGATACATCTACCTGTATTTAAAACTTTATGGTAATCGTTTATTCAGGAATTTAGACATCAAATCAGAATTTGTTTACTGTTGTTTTTTTTTTTACACATAAGATCAATCCATATTGCATGTAGAGAGAGAGAGAAGAGGAATTGGTTTGATCTGGTTTATAAACCATCATTTTGTTCTTTGGGTAGGTCACATTCATACTAAGAAAAATTCACAATGTTAGATAGCATTCTCATAGACATCTCCTTTTGGTGCTTTCCAGATTTCCATAGAGCAATTTCCAGATTTTTCTATGTATATATATATATTTTTTTAAATAAAGCTGATATGTTGAAAGAAAATGGTTATTTTCTAGTTTGTCTTTTATGATTTATAATATTTCTAAGCTTTTAGCCATTCTTAAAAGATAAGTAATGGTGGGTGGGTGTATCCCAGTGCTTACTTTGAAAATATTCATACCTACTACAAAAAGAAAGCAAAGTGGGTGAGAGTAATCTCATTAATTTTAGATGAAATCATATAGCTCTTTTGTTAAAAGAGGCAAGCTTGCCGTGGCAGCCATTTTTGAATATATCACATGCTGTCAAAAGTCCAGATATGGCCACTTGCCCAGAGAGGCTGTCTATCCTTCACTTAATATTATGGGTGAAAGCATTCATTTATTCACATGTGCAAAAAATTAGCTCTATACATCACTATACTCTGATGTTATACCACTCTGTTCAACTAGAATCTACCAAACCATTTTCCTTTTAATGAAAAAAGTGACTCTTCTGGCAGATTATTGACATTGAGCCTCTAAGCCTAAACACATTGTGGCTTCATTCTGGTAGTGTCCATGTATATAAATCAGTGTCTGCATATACAGAGAAAGTCAAAGCATGATGCTCTGTATAGTTCTGTCATGTGCAAACTGTCCTGACATTTCTATGAATGGCCATGTTCCATCTCCAAACTACTGAGTGATGATTGTGTATCTTAAACAGAGTGATTTATCTTCTACTCATGCTGAAACAGTATTTCAAAATAGGTACTCTAGATGTCAAGAGGTAACAATTTATTTTAATGGAGCAATTCTCCAACTACACAGCAAGTATTTGATTTGCTGAACTAAATATGTAAATATATTAAATATTTGTTTGCTAACAGCAAAATGGATTGAATCAGTGTTTTTTTTTTTTCATTTTTAGCATGGGATTATGATGCAGAGAAGACAAGATGGAATAAAACCACATATGCCTATAGCAGAAGAAAGAAAAAGAATCCTAGCTTCATTGGGAGAAGCACCATATTGACCATACAGTTTTATTAATATAGGATGTATAATGGTTTTACTATAATGGTGTGCTTTATTTTATTTTTAAAAAGTGGTTTCTTGATACTGCATTGCCACAATCCTTGTATTGTATTTTATTAAAAAAAAAAACAAAACTTGAAACTTTAAATGTCTAAAGAATGTAATGCATTCTTATATGGGAAAAACGTGCAGAAATAAGGTTTTGATTAGGCAAATTCAAGTGGTTTTATATTTATTGTAACACATAATTTCATATATACAAAGAGGAAGGAATTCAAATTGATTACACATAATGTAATCAAATGAAATAGTTGAAAATATAGTACAGGACTGAGCATTCCATAGATTTATTTCCCAAGACAAGACAAAAGTTGGCTCATTTTAGATCAGTGTATCAGTTATCAGTAAATTTTAATATCCTGTTAAAATTATTACTTTAAGGACTAATATTCTTCACTATAAAGTTGATGGTTATCAATCTATAGATATTTTCACCTTTAGCCTCAAGTCTGTCAATTCAATGGTATTAACATTTTTATTAATAAATTAAGCAGTTTGGTATATATTAGGAGGTTCCTAGAAAAGGTGCTACATAGTATTTTCAAAAAGTTTAGGAAGAACTGGACACTTTCTATATGTCCAGCAGACATCAGCTTGTAATTTATATATAAATGTCAGTCTGGATAGAATCAAGAATCACTGAGTTCATATGAAGTATTAAGTGTCAGGATATCATAGCATTCATACTGTTTTTTTAATATCTCTTCCATGGGACCTTTAAAAATAACTCACTAAATGTATTAATTTGGACAATATTTTGTTCCCTCAGAATAACGTTATTTATGAATTTCTTCAGCCTTTATTTTTAATATTTAATAAAAAATACTTTTAATAACTATAAACTTTATTTATTTTCAAATAAAAATAAAAACATTTTTAAAATTATTTGTTATTAAAAATTAAAAATAAAGGCTGAAGAGGTTTATAAACATAAATGTTCAAACTGAGTAGTACTTAAATGTATTTTGATACACTTGTAAAGTTTTGAGAGACTTTCCAACTTGCTGGTTAAATTCCCCTCTTCATCTCTTGCTTATAGGATATTATTTGAACATTATCAGGAAAATCTTCTGCAAAGAACAGCCAGATGAGCTGGGAAGCACTTAGCAGCTATTACTTAAAGCAGAGGTCCCCAACCTTTTAGGCACCAGCGACCAATTTTGTGTGGTTTCATGTGCTGCCTGCATCCCATGGATGGGACTTCGTTTTTTGCACAGCTCAGTTTCTGGCATGCTGTTTCTCGTTGCTGGTCCATGGACAAGGGGTTGGGGACCTCAGAGTTAAAGGGTATGTTGTATAGAAGGGTTAAATCAAACTACAAACAATGTCAGAGTTATACAAATTATTAAAATGAATAGATCTATACATATCCTGTATAAACCCTTGTATCTGAACCATATTTAATTCTTTGAGACAAAGAAGTGTTGCATCAGATTTGATCTTCTGAATTATTTCAGCTGATGTTTTCATTCCTGTTTATACTCAGTATAACAAGAGTTTTAAGTATGAGCAGTTATACATATAAATCTTACCATTTTTTTTAAAAAAATGTTGATGCTAATTAGAAACAGTTCTATATTATTACCAGGCAGTAAACTGAAATTGGAATATGAAAAATTGACAGCAACATTTCAGACTATATTGAAACTATTCCCATATTTAGTACATTTATTAAATAAACAATTGTTTATTACTGCAACATAATCCTGAACTCAACTAATGTGTCATGTGCCATCACAAAAGTTCAGATTTTACATTTATGTTTTCTGCTCCTGTTCAACTGTTGAATCTTCTGTTTTCAAAATGGTATTGTATATAATTGGATTACAGAGATTAAGGATGAAAAGTGGCTATAGGGAGGTGACAAGTTGTCACCTATTCCTAGAATGCCTGCAAATCCAATATTGGTGTGAAGTTGTTAGTTGGCCTGATCTTTTAAGTCTCCGTTGGTGATTTTACAGAATCCACCAATATTCATAAATAGTTCAATTGTTTTATATGATATCATTCATTTCAAAAATTGTATTTGTTCAGGTTTGATAGATGGAATGGATCTATATAGTTCTGTGAAGATACTGAATATATGCAGCCTTAAGATTACAGATAGGGAAGATACGGGATTTTTTCAAAAACATGTCACAAAGGATCATGTTTTGTTCTCTATTACTATATTACAAGATATAGGCAGTGGTGGGATTCAAATATGTGAACAAACGGTTCTCTGTGTGTATGCTGCTTCTGGAAGTCCATTCTGGGCCTGGGCAACAAAAAGTTAGCTACCGTTTCTGCCGAACTGGTGCAAACTGGCTGAATCCCACCACTGGATATAGGCTATCATGAAATGGATTTAAGATAGAGAAAAACAAAAACTGAATGAATCTTGGAAAAAACCCATTTGAATCAATTAACTAGTGAGCTGGTAGGCACCTCTTTATTTGATATATTGAAACAAGCTAGATGAGAGTTATTTTAAATGCTGAAATTTGATTTTCTGCACGAGTAGGGACTTAGATTTTATGATACAAATAATTAATATATTGTCAATGTAATTATATTATTTGCCTCTTGATCTTACAAGAAAAGAAAATTTGGATCGATTAAGTTTTTCATGTAGGAAAACAGCTTCATCTTTTTTTCTAAAATAAATTGTTATTGGTAAATATATTTGTCTTCTACATAATTAAGGTAATTTCAAATGCTATTAGAAATACGACAATGTTATACTGATATATGTAATTCATTGCAGGAAATAGTAAGGTATTCTCACAGCATTGTCAATGTTTAAATTACTAAATTTAAAAAACATAAAGTTTATTACAACTCAAGTTGCCTTGATGCCTGTTTTAGGTGTAACACCTAGGTAATATTTCTGGACTTAGATGCTAAATAAGATCAGGCCTGGATAATATTTGCATGGAAGTTCTCTATGGAATGCTGGAGCTGTTAATAAAGAAAATGTTGATTGCAGACTGTTACATTACACAATTTAAATTTCTAATATTAAAAATACTGTTTTTTGCAATTGTATTTTAAACTAGATAATTCAATTAGATAAAGGTCTGTGATTCTTACCAAGACATATCTAAGCACAGGTCTAAATATTCTTGGTTATGAAAAATCTAAACAGTAATGGAACTCAAAAGCATTGCTGGTGCTACAAGTGTCTTTATTTTGTACCTAAAATGCCCAGTTAACTGATAGAATTTTGTCGTGGCTGGGTACATTGAGGCTAAGATTTTTCTACTGCAGTCTGGAAAACCAGAGCCCACAAGATGTTCCTACTCAATTTCTAGGTGGGCAGTTGTTGTCAGTCTGGGTTGGGATTAACAACCTAACTTTGAAATAATATCTGGGCCTTTTGGCAGCAGTCATATGAACCTCTTCCTCTTCTCATCTAAAGTGAAAAACCACAATCTCCTGGTTAGAATGGGGTAATTAGACTCAACTAGGTCTTGGGCACCTTCATCTTGTATATCATTAGTTTACTATTAGTTTACTATTTTTCTTGTTTTGCTAACAGTCCACAAAAAAATAATTGGTTTCATATAATTAAGTAATTTTATTGAAATAAAGCATCACTATTAGGTTGTATTTCAGCAATTGTAAAAAGAGTGGTAGTTAAAATTATCATACCCTGCTCCCAGTATTTCACTTTTGCTAATAAGCCATTTCAGATCTGTTGTTTTAAGTGTACCCTTTACAACAGTGTAAACTGAAAGTTCTCTATACTGGCTTCTCGGTTTATAATCAGTCAAGGGAACCTGGAGGTTTTATTGATTTTGTCTGATATTTGTAATCATCAGTCTTCTCTGTCCGACCTTTGAATTTATTCATAACTTGTAAAATTCCCAAATAGTCATAAAACAGGTCAGCTGATTTTGCAGGAGTAATGCTAAAAAGAAAAGAGACAAACATAAGCCATTCTATATTAAACTTTGAGATGCTGTCAATTTTGCTACATTAGTGTTACACAGGTTTTACACATTAAGAAGCTAAACAGAATCACTTAGGTGGGATGGGCAGTACAGAAATTTAATAAATATTAAATGTAAAAGAAACAACATAAAATTAAATCTGATAACATAGAAAATTAAAATGGTAGACAGCAGATAATCTTTAGAAGCTAATAAACACCACTCTCAGTCATATTAAATGGATGACAGGAAATAAGAGAATCAATTGAATTCACTTTGGAAGAGATGTCTATAACTCAGGTGGGGCATACACACATATAAACCCTTCTTAGGTATCCTATACAGCAGGCGTGTCAAACTCGTCGCACAACTTTTTCCCCATTGCCGGCAATGGGGTGGGTGTAGTTTTGGCATGATGCATCCGGCAGTTTGATAAGCCTGCTATACAGTCTTTGTTATTGATGAAACACAGAAATGTCTTCATTTGGGTATACCAATTTGCTTTGAGATGTAGAAATGCAGAGTACATATAGTAAAACCATCTAACCCGTCTATTTTGATCCATAAAAAAAAGTACACTGATATGTAATACTTCTTTGGATTCATGCCACCACTAGCTGTTAACACTTCTGCAAACTGCTGCTTCTCTGGGTCTACTATGAGTATGATTCAGGTATTCCTTCTCACAATTTGTTTGGAAGCAAATAAAAATCTATTTCTTGTTCTTCAAATTAATGTGATTGTCCTTTTTTTCCTCACATTCTGCATATAGGAATACAATGCTAGTTGAACTGCGGGCTTTATTCCCTTGGGAACAATGTCCCTTTTATTCAGAAATGTTAACCCTATTCCAGGGCTGAATTTACAGTAAAATTCATGCAGGGTCTTTCACAAACAAAAAAGAAAAGCCTTTCTGAATACAAGGCTAGAAAGCACAATTAATATGCTAACTCTGTAAACTGCTTAGGGCTGTAAAGCACTGAGAAGCGGTATATAAGTCTAAATGCGACTGCTAAGTGCTATCTTGTCCTCTGCTGGGCTATCACTGAAGCCAAAGTTATGTTGCAGATTTTTAATCTTTACAAGTAATCCCATCCCACCCCAAGAGCCAGCCCCTTCTCCTGATAGAGATACTTATCAGGGTTCTAGGCAATATCTGAAGATGACCATATTTCAATTTTGCTTCAAGTGATTGCAGACAAGCCGCATTTGTTCTGCACTGTGTATACTACCTAGTTTGTGCTGCTGCAAGCAGTAAAATGTGCCTTCAATTTTCTAACTATGATGTGATATCTGAATTTCTAGATATTCTATTTTAAAGATGCTTGCCATATCTTTAATCTTTTTCATCCACCAGGTTTATTGCTCCCTACTTTTTAAATTAAAATCAATTAAAATATAATATTGAAAAACTGCAAAGCAACTATTTCTAACAACATATGCATTTCCAACTATGGCTGTGCCCATTATTTTTTATATTATTGAAAAAGGAAAATGAATGGCTGCAAAGTAGTGCTTAATCTTCCACCCAAAAGGGTAAAGATAAATGAAAGTAGCATGGTGAATTCTGCAGAATGACAAGGTAAATAAGAGGAAAACAGCATCTGTAATTGAACAGCTGTTTTGTAAGATAATTCCCAGTATGTTTTCAGAATTCCAGGTATGCCCTCTAATCATTGGTGGTCCTGTTTTACACATTCCAATATTCTGCAAAACTTTCATATCTCTATGGATATGAAATTCAATTTTCTTCTTTCTTTAAAGTAACAACAAAAATGAAAGAAAATACTGATGGAGCCCAACTTTAGTGCATAGGTGCAGCTGGTCTGGGGTATGCGACAAAGCTTCCCCTTGTCCTTTTCAAAACAAAAATTAATGGCTGTCACCTCAAATTAAAGGAAATTAATCTTCTCAAGGACTGATGGCACACTCAAAGAATATACACCAGGAATTTGATGCTGTATCTGCTACACTTTTCTTAGTCCTGTTTTTCTCTGAAGTACCACTCTGCTACATTTCAGATACAGTCTTCACTCAGCATGTTCCTTAATTGTAATATTGGATGAAAGTATATATGGCACTGATTTCTCATTTTTTTAAAAATTAACTATACGTAAATCCATCTTTTCTATACTTTTATATGAAACTGAATATCAACTTTAGAATCTGTTCTAAAAGAGATTTTAAGTAGCCTACCCTGATGCCTTATTTTTCTGAATAATTCAGTTTAATTTAATTAAAATAATTGAATTGAATTGGATACATTTCCAAAATAAAATTAACCTGGATAAAATTTTGCCTAATTTACATAGGCCCAAGAGATCTTTCAACAGAACATAAAATTTGGAGATCTTTTTATACTGCTACCTTGTTTTGTTGTTGTTCAGTGTTCCTTTCTTGACACATTTTCAATTAGTTCTAGGCAGAACATTCTTACCTTTTAATTACATTAATCAAGTATAGACTTCGCGGTATAAAGATATATCGTTCATTTCGGAGTATCCCAGACACAATTCTTTCTACAGCATATTCTGGATCTATAATAGGTAGGAAATGAGACCACCTGATGGAATAAAGCACCACCATTTTGAATTATATTTTTTTCTTGAATTTCATCTGTAATAATAGCAATTGAAGCTTAAACAAAGCAATCATCAATATGCTTGGAACCATATTGCACCAACCAAACTCATGAACATTGTCTCCCTGTCTCACACACTCTCTGTAATTCCAATATCTTGCTCATGCTTTTTTTTCTTATGTGTGTATATTTAATACAGATATGTTCACATTATTACAATATTATAATAATACAACTTACAATAATACAACTTACTACAATAAATAGTATTCTAGAGCAAAACATTGGTTAGAAAATTAACAGTTGCATATTTGAGTTAAAATGGAGAAAATCTTTGGACAATCTACATTTATTATTTTTTCATATTTTATCCTCAATTTGTCATCTATATTTTACTCAGTTCTTCATATGCCTTCTGTATAAAAGTCTTTGAAGCAGTTATAATTTATATAAATAATTCCCCAACTTAATTTTCTAACCTTTGTTAAAATTTGATTTTAGATTTGGTATCATATCAATCCAACAAAATCCCTCTTCTGTAATACCTACCTGCTTGCCTGTTTGCTTGCCTACTAGCTATCATCTATCCATATCTTCTCATTTGCTTTATTGTTCTGTTTTATCAGAATTTGAACTCTTTATTTTCTTAGGACATTTCAATTTTTATAGGTAGTTTTCTTAATTCTAATGGAGTAATTTGCCAATACTCCATTAATTGTTCAGAGAAGCACATCTAACATTGCAAATATGAGAGTTCTTTTGTGGATTTAGCTGACCAAATTACATTATATTCCAGTGTAAAATTTGATGCTAAAAGTATAAAAACATCACTATCCATAACAGGCATAGCTCAAGCATTTTATACATGTTCTAAAGAATCATTTTACCAGATTTTACTAAATTTTTACCAGATTTTACCAAAATTAAATTTTACCAATAAAGGAGAGTATTTGTAGTTCAGAGCTGAAATAGCAATAGCAATAGAGTTATCTACCTCCTCATAATACTTTACAGCACTCTCCAAGTGGTTTACAGAGTCAGCATATTGTTCCCAACAATCTGGGTCCTCATTTTACTGACCTCTGAAGAATGGAAAGCTGAGTCAACCTTGAGCCGATCAGGATTGAACCAGCAGTGGGCAGAGTTAGCCTGCAATACTACATTCTAACCACTGTGGCACCATAGCTGAGAAGTCCTTAGTGCTCTCTGAGCTTGGTTGTTTTCCTGCAGACATTTCATTAACCTAACTAGGTAACATCATCATGCTAGTAAGGAGTGAGTTTTGCTCTCAGTTTATATACCACTGGCTTGCCCTGTCAGTTAGTGTTGGTGAGTGTGGGGGGTAGTCTTGGAGGTTTTTTGGTTGGGCTGTTTATTGTTAGCTTATCTAGCTGTTCCTTGATTAGGGTATTGTTTTACTTCTTGATTTTCTTGGCCAGATTTTATCTGATGAAAGATCTGATAGACTGAATAATGCAGTAGAACTTTGAACAAAAGAAATCCTGATCCCTTATGAGCTTTTCCCTTCGATTCTGTCAGTAAAAAGGATCTGATTTGTCATTGAGCCAGTCACCATAATCATCCCTTCCTGCATGATTCACAATTGAACATGCATTTGCCTTAACAAAGCATCTTCTCTTGTTAGCTTTCCTTTTGTAGAAAATATATGGTGGCTGAAACAGAACCAGTACCAAGTACGCCTCAGAGCATTCATGGCCACCCTATAAATATTACTAAAATTATTGGGAACAGGAGCTCATAACCAGAAGGAGTTTCTCCAAAAGAATATACTTCCATGTATGTGATTTCAACATACAACAGCATGTTGTATCAGAAATAGCTTCTGGAAGGGAAACTAGAGAAATTCATATATACAATTGGTACTAAGGTTGCAAAACATTGTAAAAAAGCAAGTTCTGTTTTATTTAAACCTATCATCACTATTTTATTTAAAACATGTCATCGTTATTTTATGTAATTTAAGGACATACATACATACATACATATTTGAATAAAATAAATAATATGCGATCACCAGGAGAGTTTAAGTAGGGGGGGGGATACGAGGGTGTCAATAGACTTAAAAATTAATAACAAAGGGGCAGGTAGGAGGATCCGAAGGAACGACAGAAGAGAATGTAACACCAAAGAAACATCTGGAACATTAATTGACCGGCTGGGGCCAGTAACGCGGTCTAGGAGCTGGGTGCAGATGTCAGCCAAACCTATTTAAGTCATTCTTTTTTTTTTTTTCAAAGATAATTTTTATTAAATTTTGACATTTTACAAAAAACAAAACAATCTTCCCCCCAACCTCCCCAACCCTCCCATTCCCTCCCCCGACCTTCCCAGAGCTGAATATAGGCTTAATTAAAATTTCATCAAAAAATCTTAAAAAAAGATATAAACCATAAATGAATCTAACATTAGTTAGAAATCTAAATACATTAATTAAAAAAATTATAAAATAATTAACAATAGTATATATATAAAGAAAACATGAATACAAAAAATAAATGTTTAGAAAAGAGATGAAAAAAAAGGAAAAAAGAAGAACAAAGAAAAAAAATATTCCATTTTAAATATAAATTGTTAAAAAACTAAATAATATTTTTATATCTAACTTATGTTGTATAAAATCTATCCATTTTTCCATACCGCAACATACTTCTCTTGCGATTGATCCTTCAAAAAAGCCGAAATCTTTGCCATTTCCGCCAAATAAGAAACTTTAAGAAACCACTCTTGCAAAGTAGGCAAAGATTTCTTCTTCCAACATTGCCCTACTAACAACCTTGCGGCTGTAATTAAATTTAACATCAGTGTAGTCTCCTTAGTATCACAATCAATAACGATACCTAACAAAATCAATTGTGGGGTAAATTTTACCCTCCTTCTAAAAATTCTTTGAATATTCCACCATATCTTAATCCAAAAGGCTTTTATGTTTTTACACGACCACCAAATATGATAATAAGTAGCATCCAAGCATCCACATCTCCAACATTTAGGCTGTAAGTCAGGATACATATGAGACAGTTTTTGTGGATCAAGGTGCCATCTGTAAAACATTTTATAAAAATTCTCCCTTAAATTCTGGGCTTGTGTAAATTTGACATTTCTCACCCAAATAGTTTCCCAAGTATCTAATAAAACTGGTTCACCAAAATTTTGTGCTCATTTAATCATACATTCTTTAACTAATTCTGCTTCTGAATCCAATTCTATTAACACCCCATAAATTCTCTTAATGTGAGTTCGTCTTTGATCTTTTACTTGTTTAAAAAATTTCTCATCTTCTCTAAGCAAAACCACATTACAATCTACCTTCCATCTATCCACAATTTGTCTATACTGAAACCATGAATATATAATATTTTCTTGTGCTAAATCTTCCAAAGATTTTAACTGCCATTTTTACCATCCCATCTAAGTAATTGTGCATAAGAAACACTATCCATCTTAACTCCTCTCCTTATCCCCTCTATCGCATGCCATGGTATGGCCCATAATGGAATTTTAGAATCAGCTCTATAATATTTCCTCCAAACCCGAAGTAAAGAAATCCTTATAATATGAGATTTAAAAACCCTATCAACCTTTTTATTAAAAATTAAATAGGCATGCCATCCAAAAAGTAAGTCCCAACCCTCCAAGAGGAGTATTTCTACATTTGTTAAATTAACCCAATCACTAATTAATGTTAAAACCACAGCATCATAATACATTTCAAATTCGGTACCTTGAGTCCACCTCTCTCACGAGTATCTTGTATGATTTTAAGTTTTACTCTTGGCTTTTTCCCTGCCCAGATAAATTTGTTGATACCTTTCTGCCATTCATTTAAATTAACCTCATTCTTTAAAATAGGTATAATTTGAAATAAAAAAAGAAACTTTGGCAGAACATTCATTTTAATCACCGCAATTCTTCCCAGAAGAGATAATTGCAACTTCTCCCAATTTTTCAAATCTCTTTGTATCTTGACCCACAGCTTTTCATATTATTTTTATACAATTTTGCATTAGAGACAGATAAAGTAACCCCCAAATATTTTACCTTATCAACAACCTCAAAATCTGTCAAATTAACCAAAGTCTGCTTATCGAGATTAGTCATATTTTTGGGTAATATTTTAGTCTTATTATTATTAATTTTAAAACCCGAGACCCATCCATATTGATGTATCAATTGTAATAACTCTACTACAGAATAAATAGGTTGTGATAAGGTAACCACCAAGTCATCTGCAAAGGCTCTTAATTTATATTCTTTTTTATTAACTTCTATTCCTTTTATTTGCTGTGATTCTCGAATTTTAATCAACAATATTTCCAAGGTTAAAACAAACAGCAATGGTGACAATGGACATCCCTGTCTAGTCCCTTTTTCTATTGTAAAAACCTCTGACAAACCCCCATTAACTATAAGTTGTGCCGTTTGTTTTTGATAAATAAAACCAAGAGCTTGTAAAATTTTTCCTCCAAAGTTCATTTTCTCAATTAATCTTAACATAAATTGTCAATTCAATTGATCAAAAGCTTTTTCAGCATCTAAAAATATCAATCCTGCGGAAACTTGATTATTTTTATCTAAATATTCTAATAAATTAATGATTTGTCTAACATTATTCTTCATATACCTTCCAGTTATAAAACCTGTTTGGTCTGTGTGTATAACATGATGCAAAACTCTCATAAGCCTATTGGCTAAAATTTTCGCAAAAATCTTATAGTCTACATTCAAAAGAGATATAGGTCTGTAGTTCAAGTCATTCTTGTTAAACTGACTTTTTAGCCCTGACGATGTTGGGAGTTCCCAACGAAAGCTTGGCAGCTTTTTAGTAAAGTATTTTTCTTACTTAAACTCTCCTGGTGATCGCATATTATTTATTTTATTCATAATTATGCCTGGGAGTCGTATTTTTACGGATACATGTATATATGAAATGCAAACAACTCACTTTGTTTTACAGCCTTCAAACATTCCAGTGTTCACTAGATATGGACAGACAATTGTAGATTTAACACCATTCTTTTTCATTACCATCATCTCTAAAGCTAGAGATTCAGCAAAACCCAGAACTGCAAATTTACTTGTACAGTAATCTGAAAAGTGAGAAAAAAACATAATAGTATATGCATGAAGCAGAATATTCTTCCTATAAAATATTTTGGATATCCCACATAAGCATAAGTAACTGAATAAAATCAATGGCAATTGGTATCTTTTGTTTGTACCTTCAGAGTTCTATTTTCTATATTTACAACATTGCTGCTAAAAAGAGGCTGGGAATTTTTAGGGTAAACTACACACTTTCTCAAAATGCACGCTCCATGTGTGGAATACAACTTTCTTAATTACTATGCATATTATACTTAACAGCAACAATAAATCAAACTATTTGACATTAGCTCCTGTCTCATGTTTACGATAAAATGTGCTATACCTAAAAATATTTGAGGGGAATCCCTAGACAGTTCTTTCAAATATTATCAATGAAATGTGACAGGAGTAATTAAAAAAATGGACAGTCATCATTTCACTGAATTTAATTCAATTACTTGAAGTAAATTGCCCTATCATTTTTTCAAAAAATTCGATTACTTCTATAAATCCGATTACCTTTTTTTCATATTTCTTCTTTTTTCTTGCTACTACAGTCTTTGTTTCTTGTTCGAAGAAAATTTTGATTTGTAATAACAGTTGCTAACTCTTTGGCCTACTTCACTTGTCAAATTAAGACTTTTATTTAAACTATCTACTAAAAGGTTTTTTAAATCTTTTCTGCAGCACTTTTGCCATATACTAACCTGCCATTTTGTTGACAGCATAACAGCCAGCTGCACTTGAAATAGTCACCACATGTCCATGATTAGAGGCTACCATGGCTGGAACAAAGGCTTTGACAGTCTATGGAGAAGAGGTAAAAACAAATACATTTCAGCATATGAATATATAAAAAATAAATATATATTTTTATTTTTTTTAAAATTTCACTTCAAAAATGACCTAATCAGGTAGATAAAACAATATTTCAGAGTTTCTGAAAGGTCTTCCAGTCTTTTAGTTTAGCTATTGTTTCATTTTGGTCTCTTCTGGGATGTTAAGGCAACCTGGAGGTGACCAGGGTCTATGTGATGGTATCAATCTCTTTGAAAAAGGGAGGGGTACACTGTCTCTTCAAGAGGTCACTACTAGATCCCTCTTTTGCGATAATCATCCAGTCTCCAAACTTCCTTTTGTTGGAAATATTTGCTGTTGAATAGTTGAAACTTGGAGTCAACTTCTGGGCAGGTAATGGGTCAGTTTTTAGGAAGTGAATTTAAATAGGCTTGGGATAAACACGTGTCTATCATCTAACAAAAAATTAAAAATAAAATAATAAATAAATAATAATAAAAAAATAAAAACAAAACAAAACAAATCCCTCAAAGGGCAGATTCGATAGACCGCTGGGTCTTTTTCTGTTATTAGTTTTCTATATTTCTATATTATTGCTGTGTTATGTTCAAATGTACTACTTAATATATAGATTAACTACAGCTATGATTCTTGTTTTTCTTTGATAGACCACTAGAGGGCATCAATAACAAAAAAATCAGACTACAAAACTGCATGGAATTATGGTATTGAGGAAGTTCCCAGGAATCAAGACTGAAGTCAAAAGTAGAAACAAAAACATTTTTAAATATCTGTGCTACATAAGTAAAAATCTTATTTTTTGTTGTTTCTTGCAAAGCACTATGTCTAGAGAAGCATGATTGACATGTTTTCAAAAACTTATAGGGTTGAACCTGTGATTGCTGACAGCAATAGCTGATTGTGTATAAATGCAGATCTTAGTCAAAATCAACATCAATATTATCTGCTTAAACAATTGATGGCCTTTCAGATATCCAGAGAAGGGTTAAGAAGGGACATGCTTAATTGTACAGCTTAATTTTTTTAAAAAAATAAATTACTAAAAATATAATCTTTTGTTGATCAGGGAGAGTGGGATACAAGCACTCTTCAGGTTGGCCGATTTCCATGGTCTGAAAATGATAAGAAGCTCATTAAAATATTTGTGGATCTTAGAGATCACATATAGTCCTTTTGTGAAAGAACATGATCCCATAATAGTAGAATTACTTCTTTGAAATTATTGAATTATTTTCTAAAAGAGCCTTTGTGCAATTCTTATAGCTTCTTCAGTAGGATAGAAATGTATTGTGTGGTGATAAAGTAGAACTGACTGGGGGCTGAGGACAATGCTATGCCTAGCTTTGAAACTGCTTATGAGAAAACAAGATTTATTGTTATGATTTTCCTACAATCATGTTCATGTGGTTTTTCTTCCCCCTATCATCTTTCTTGGATTCTGTTTAGTTTGCTTTTTAGAAATTTGATCAGAAACTAGTGAGAGAAGATGTTCTACTATGAAATCATTTCTCTTATTGGTCAACATATGATGAGAAAAGACAAAGGACTTTCCACAGGAGTTCTATCTGTAAGGCCATTTTTACTAATAAAAAAAATGCAAGTTCATACTGGATATGCTTTCATAATTAATCAAAAATCTGTTACCCAAAAGTGTGCCATTGTGTTCACTTGAATACTCTTCTCTAGAAGCATATCGGGGCTGTCTAAAAACATTCTTCCCGTTATGATGCCAGCATTATTAATCAGGATACCAACATCACCAACTTCCTTTTTCACCTAGAACAGTCATAGAGCAGACCCAGGTTAAAACAATTTTAGTAAATTTACATAATTCAAAAGAAAGTACAGCTACCAAAAATCTTCATATAAGGATCTTTGCATTAAACATGCCGTCGGACATTACATGAAATGGAGGCTCAGTCTGCTTATTTTATCTGTCATTTATCGTCACATTTATCTACTGTTCAGCAAAGTAGACTTTAAAGTTTTAAAGAAGGGAAAACACTGGGGAAAGATGCAAGATAAAACATTTTTTCTCTGATTTTCACCTTCATTCCCTTCTATTCAATTCATCATTCAGCATTAAGGATCTGTGTAAAGTTAGGGGCTTTACCGCTGTTCAAATGACATTACTAAAAATTGGGGTGCATGTAATAGTAAAGTAAAGTTGGAAGGGACCTTGGAGGTCATCTAGTCCAACCCCCTGCTCAGGCAGGAAACCCTATACCATTTTGGACAAATGGCTGTCTAGTCTCTTCTTAAAAACCTCCAGTGTTTAAGGAGCATTCACCGCTTCTGGAGGCAGGTTGTTTTACAAGCAGAAGTCTCCATGAAAAATACTGTTATATGAATAAATCAAAGACCACAGGTCGTATTAGAATACGTGCAAGTAATTTGGAATACCATATACAGTCATCAGATATTTCTGAATTTCAGTCCCCAGAATATTTCACTATTGGTCATGTTGTCTAGAACTATTGGAGATTCTGGTTCATCATCTAGAGGACTACATATTATGCAGTCTTACAACTGGGTTCACACATGCAAACCTATGATTTTATATGTTGTATAAATCCAGACACAGTACTTTATAAATCATGGTCTATTACCTAACATGCTGGGTCAATCCAGTTTTAAACGAATTATAGTTTAATGCAATATATGATTCCAGTGATTACAGACACCATGTTAGCAGATGGAACAAATGTTTGATGGATAAATATTTTATGTTGTACAAAATCTATAACAAAATATAATTACCTGGTCTGCCACTTGATAGATTTCTTGCCTTTTGCTGCAATCACAAATGTAATCATGTACTCTCACAGTCCCAATTTTACGTGCTAATCTAGCTGTTTCTTTGATTCCTTCCAGATTAACATCCCAAAGAACTAAAGTAGCTCCAAGTTGAGCAAATTTTAAAGCCATCAGCCTTCCCATTCCACTTCCAGCTCCAGTTATAAGCACTATTTCACCAGCAACATTTTTCTTCCGTGAATAGATAAACGATAAGAAATACTCCATCAGATTATATATATGCAGCACGATTATTTTGAGTGTTTCCAGGAAAAAATTCATTTTGGAGAAAACGTTTCAGATTACCTGTTGAATAAATTCAGACATCAGTTAAATCCATTGCCAAACATTTATGTCTTGTTTTCACCCCCTTTCAACTACGATCCTTTCTTCCTCCCTTGGGATCTTCCAGAGGAGTAGATCAAAACTGTTAGGGTTTATCAGTGAGAAAGAGGCAGATGTATATCATTCCTGTGGGCAGAATGAATGATGAAACTGTTTAACATTATTGAAGATCTTTCAGCCAAAATAAGATCTCTTCCTTGAACTTGATCATGGTGACTACATGGACATATCCATATTTTCTTCTTGGCAATGGAACAGAGGTGCTATACTGTTAATTTCTGCCACTTAAACTTCTCAGTTCTATCTAAAACCTTGGAATGTCTGTATGGACACGTATTAACCAAATATTATTTTCGCTCACATTATGTACAGAGCACATATTTAAGTTCAGTTGCTGGTGATACCTTAGAACAGGGCTTTTCAACCTTTTCACCCATTGTACCACTTTTAGGATATGGCAATATCCGAGTACCACCAGTCACCTAGCAAGATGTCAAAAACTTGACCCCCCCCAAAAAAGAAAAAAAATTAATAAAGTACATGTAGTCCTCGACTTACAACAGTTCGCTTAGTGACTGTTCGAATTTACAATGGCACTGAAAAAAGTGCTCCCCAAGGCACAACCGAGCAAGACACCTGCCTGCCCACCCGGCAGCGCTTTTCATCCTGTCTGAGGCTTTCATTGTTGTGAGCATTTCTGTTGAGGATTGGCAGCGGGGGTAGGGTGGGCGGGGGTTGGTTTTTATTCTCCCCGTCTGCTGGGTAGTTGCAGCAGGTTTTGGTCACTTCACATGATCCTGGCACACTGTGACTATCATAAATATGAATCAGTTGCCAAGCATCTAATGTAAATCACAAGACCCTGGAGATGCTGCAACATTCCAGCTGATCGACACTTCTTCTGCACTCAGCAGAAGCGCCATGATCAGCGCCGAGCTCCAGCTAGAGCCTGGCACTGATCCTGGTGCTTCCATTGAGCCCTGACAGGCCTGCAGCTCCAGTCATCTCTCGCTCAGGCTTGTGCAGTGCTGCCACTGGTTCAGCTCATTCCCCTCCTCCGCTACCACTTTTCTAGGAGGATGAAAACCTGACAGTCTTCATTCTAGGATGAAAACCTGACAGTCCCAAAAAAGTGCTGATCCTGGCACTTCCACTGATCCCTGACAGGCCTGCAGCTCCAGTCATCTCTCGCTCAGGCTTGTGCAGTGCTGCCACTGGTTCAGCTCATTCCCCTCCCCTGCTACCACTTTTCTAGGATGGTCGCGTACCACCTGCCAGGTGCCAATGTACCACAAGTCGTATCCGTACCACTGGTTGAAAAGCCCTGCCTTAGAACAGGGCTTGTGATTTACATTCAAATGCTTGGTAACTGATTCATATTTATGACGGTCACAATGTTCCAGGGTCATGTGAAATGACCAAAACCTGCTGAAACTACCCAGCAGATGGGGGGAATAAAACCAAACACCCCCCCCTACCCCAGCCTCGCTGCCAATCCTCAATAGAAATGCTCAGAACAACGAAAACCTCGGACAGGAGGAAGAGCGCTGCTGGGTGGGCAGGCAGGTGTCTTGCTTGGCTGTGCCTTGGGGGGCCCTTTTTCAGTGCCATTGTAACTTCAAAAAGTCAGTAAGCGAACTGGTGTAAGTCGAGGACTACCTGTACTTTATCACTTTTTTCCATTTTTTTTTTGTCATCAAGTTTTTGATACTTTGCTAGACAGTTGGTGGTACTCGGATATTGCCATATCCTAAAAGTAGTACAAGGGGTGAAAAGGTTGAAATGCCCTGCCTTAGAATCTCTTAAGAATACATTTTAGGGAAAGTTTCTGGGCCTTTATTTAGTATATCTACAGCTTTCCTCTTGGCAGAATCCAGTCTAATTTATTGTAACTAGAATATACCTGTATTATCTGAAATTTTGGCACAGTATGAATAGGGTAGATAATGCCTACCTCTCCCTCCAATTGGATGGAGTAATAGAGATGGGGTTTAGTTAGATTCTGGTAAAGCAACATAACCTTCGAATGGGAAATGTTTGAACAGATGATTATTGATTTGTCTAGCTGAACTAGACTTATGATTATTATGAAGGTGAAGATGGCACAATGACTTCTAGTTTCATTTAAATAGATACTTTTATTGTTCAAGGAGAAATAAATTAGAACATAGTATCCATTTCCATTTTGTCTTAAAATGTGCAGGCTTTAACTGAATGGATTTCAAACACTTTTCTCACATTTTTTGGGGAAGAAAAGCTTTGCAGTATTAATTTCAATGTATAGAAGATATCATTCTTTGTATACGGATTTATTTTAAAGCAAACCTGGGATAAATCTCACAAAGATTTCATTGCTTCATGTTTAAGTGATTATTCCCCAAAGGTTTCCCAATTAGTAAGGAAACATCATGGGTAAATTTCAATAAATAAATTATATAATTTCATTTATTACATTTGCAATTAATGTTTATCCTATGTACAGATATTGTGGCATTTGGCTAAATACAAATAAAAGTACAACATACGAGACAGTAAATGGTATGTAGCACATGAATGGGTTTATCTAGTTTTGCAAAACCATGTGAATTTGGGTCAAAAACAGCAGGAAGTTTGTTATATCTCTTCATACTAGGCAGCCTCTTTTGACCTATTTCTTCAATGTCACCACACATTCCATTGCAGTTTGAGATCTGTTCCACAGTCAGCATCTGGCTGTCTTGATGCTATAATATATAGCCAATTTTATTTCTATATACTCCATCTGGTGATGTTCATGTACAGAGATGTCTTGGTTGTTGAATATAATTCAGCACTTTCTTTAGCCTTATGTATGTTTAATTACAAATAAAACCCAGGAGTATGATCTAGTAAACTAGTGAACAAACATAGTTAAATATTATATAATTTTAGTGGTCTGATAACCCTAATCCTATATATGGCTTCTTTTGCAAAAATAAATAATAAAAAAGGAAGGGAGGGAGGAATTTAGCTTCTCTAGCCTGTCAACAGATAAGCTAAAGTTACTATTTACTACATTTCAGCTCAATAGACAGTTTTGTAGTCAGATCACACAACACCTTATTCCCCCAGTTTCAGAATATTGTCTTCCCAGATACTTTCCAGATAAATCCAGTTTTCGGGAACCACAACAGTACAATATATTAAACTGCTCAAGGCAAAAAAACCAATGAAAGCTTGACTTTGAGACTTGCTAATTAGTTTGTACCGTATATGCCGGCGTACAAGGCAACCCGGCGTATAAGATGACCCATCTTTATCGCTGAACTGCATTCCTAGAACGTCGTCTTATATGCCGGAAACTACCAGTATTTCCGGCTTATAAGATGACCCCCGTCTTTGGCGCCGATTTTAGCGCTCGCGGAAGTCACCTTATACGCCGGCTTATACGGTAATTATAGAAATGGCTAGTATTTACTAAGGAAGAAAGGTAAAGGTTTCCCTGTCTAATCCTACTCTAGGGCAGTCCTCATCTACATTTCCTAGCTGAGATAGTCAACATCACCCAAAAACAATTTCTGTGGTCATGCCAAAAGTGCACAAAATTCTGTTATTTTCCCACTGAAGTAGTACTTATTAATCTATTCGCATTTGCATGCTTTTGAACTGCTAGTTGGGCAGGAATTGGAACAAGTAAAGACAGCTCACCCTGTGGCATGGTGCAGTATGCAAAAATAAAAAGGTGAGGCTCTAATTTTGTATTTTACGAAACTGAAAAAAGCTGGACCTCAATGCTTTTTTTTCTTTTCCCTTTATCATACACTTCTTTCTTTTCCTTTTCCATTTCCCTATTATCTTTATTTTCATTTGTATTGTATATTACGATAATCTTAATATAAACAGTACAATATACTAAATATACACTGTACACTTACATATGCAATTTGGTGGGAGGTTGTTATGTTGCCTGGTTGGAGAATGATGGTTTTTAAGTGGGAATAGAGATATATTTGTATTTTTAATATATTTAATAGGTTTGATTTGTTACCCATCCAATGTTACACTTCATAAAAAGGAGGGGACTTATACATCTTTTAAATAAAATAAATCCACAGCCCAACATATGGATTAGGCAAATAAGTTTAATATTGCCTCTGCTAATTTCGACAAGTTCTGACCTGACCATAATTAGTGCAGAAACGAGAAGAATTTCCCTCCTACTAAAAAGGAACTGCACTTGTATTTTACCAGCCGTTTCAGGCGACGTAACAGTGAACTTTGGATTAAAGGAAGCAGCTACATAAAGAGCAACTGGGGAACCCGCAGATAGCGACCCAAAAGATCTTTCTAGTCTTTCACCCCCTCTGTGTGCGCGCGCGCGTGCACACACATAAACACACAAAGTGAAATCTACTCTACAGTATTCTTAAGTATTTCTAGGGTCCTAGCCCTGAGCTGAAGCAACCACAAGCCTCAGCGCCCCAGAACCACGCCGTAGAAGCATTCCAGCTCATTATCAGCCCCGCGCACCGACTTACTCAGCTATTTCACTCCTCAAGGTTCAATACTTCGTTGAAGAGGAGAAGATTACTTCCGTACTGTGAGCGAGAAGGCCGCCACGAAGCAGTGCCGCCGGCGGAGATTCTTTAATCTAGAATGATGGCGGTCCAGAAGAGGACCCGCCCATTCACTCCAAAGGCGGTCCTACCAGCTGTTCTACGCCCAGATCACAATTAGTCTAATTGTAGTCTAATCTGCAATTCCAGGAGCGAGTTTGCCTTCCTCATTGTTCAGCCAAAGCAATGGAAAGGAGAAGTTGTCTGACGGGTCGGTTCTCCGCCACGGGGTTGTTGCAAAGGAGATGGGAAATTCCCTTCCACCGCTCAGCCCAGTTATCTCAATTCGGCTGCTGAGAAAAAAAAAAACTAGAAAACCGAGCGTCCCCTTAGGCAGCGCAGTGGGTAGCGTTAACCCACTTAAGCATCCCTTAAAGAGTTAAAATGATCGGACGGCTTGAGCCTCTCGTTCCGCCTGGCACAGCTGAAAACTAGAAGTATTCGGTTGCAATTGAATCCCTGCCAACTCTGGGCGCAGCGATTGTTTGTTCTTTGCGCTCTTAAACAAGTCAGGTCAATGTGCTTGAGGCAGTTTACTCAGAACAACGGCCTCTTGGCACTGTCTTATTGTCGAGGATGAGCTCCGGTGGAGGAAGGAGAGTCCGAGGGGTCTCGGGAAACAGAAAAGACACGCTAAGCATAGACAGTGGGAAAGAGGAGTATGGCCAGGGAAAGACAGGTGCAGACTAAGCTTAGCTCGTGAAACTAATCCCCACCATCCCACCCCCAAAATTTGAAAGCATGAGGTTTAAGAATTTACCTCATTTTAACAATGATACAAACTAACAGTTTATGATCATTTGGACTTCAACTAGCCTAATTAAACTCTTCCCAAACTTCAATTATTAGACTGAATTATGTGCCATGTGATAAAGTTAGTGAAAATGCAGAATGAATTTCAAGAAAAGCCAGTGTTATAAGTCATGAAGATATATGTATGTTAGCAAAGATGAAGATTAATTTTAGGTGGTGGAACTCAACAGCCAACACATACCAAAAGTTTGGAGATGGTGGAACTGTCAAAATGTGAATTTTCAGTTTATTTTAAGTGAGTCTGACATTATTGCCATGGTAGGAATAATACTGTTAACATAACCTAATGTCACTTGTGCAACTGCTTCCTGAATCTTCTGAAATAGTAGTATTGTATTATCCAAGCACCAGAAAGCTATTTATTGCTGTATGTTATGTAATGTTTGTTTTAGTACACCTTGCAGATCATATTTTTTTCTAATGCACCAAATATAGAATAAGCTTCATAACTAATTAGTAAATTTATATGTTAAGCATCTCTGTAAAAAGCTGCATGATTAGTTAAAGCAGAGTAACAACTTGGAAGATGAATAGACAGGTGATAGGTAAGGGAACTTAGACCACTCTCTTGGGAAGAATTATCCCTTCTCTTTGGAGAAGTTAAAAGGAGAAATCGTTAGTTAAGTGTGAAAAACAGTCACACATATCTTAGACCTATTTTCATCCAATACTTTTTCCATACTGTATTTTCATACCTCTTAAGAAAAATGTAATCAATAATCTGCCTACTATGCAAAGGTCAAATCAAATAGTTAATCTGGTGTAAAAGCTGATAATGAGCAATTTTCAAGCCAGAAATAATAATTATGAAAACATGAAGCAAATATTTAAAACTCTGATGGTCAGAAAAGAATGCCTAAAAGTTGTTTATTCAAAATGGCAAGAGGACTTGGAACTGACATTAATGCAAAAACACATATGGAAGGCTTGATTTCTTTACCAGGTAACTTTCTATGTATATAGCAATAATACATACATACAGCAATAATATATACATTGTGATATACCTATGTATCCATTAGATAGTTATGGAAAATGGAGTAGTATTTCTAGAGAGTTAAGTTTTTTGCCTCTAAGAGTTCATATAAATTCTTATACCTGATAATACTCACTCTGGAGCCCACATCGTTTTATTTTTAATAGAATCATACAATATAAATATTAGAACACTCCAAAGATCATCTTGTCAAGATCCCTGCCCAATTTACAGGATTCCACTATTGTACTATTCCCAACTGAGGGCCATTCTTCCTGTTTAAATACTCCAAGTGAAAGAGAGTCCATCACTTTCTGATGCATTATTTTACATTATTGAAAAGTTCTTATCTTTTGGATTTTTTTCAAAAGATAAGAACTTGAAATATTTTTCTAAACTCACTGTTTCTTGTCCTGATTTTTGAATAATTCTGAACAATTCTGCCCCAGCTCCCACATAAGAGCCTCTCTGATATTTGAGGACAATTATCATGCCTTTCTGCAGTCTTTTTCCCAGTCACTCAGTGATTTGAACTGTTCTTCTTCTTTATCCTAGCATTTCCCATTTGCAGTGTCTGCTTTTTGGATCAACAAATGCAGTTTCATATGATCAAATGGAGCAACCAGAATCAAACTGTTGATCAATTAGTTGTGATAAAAATTTACTGACTAGCTTGTTGCCCAAGCCTGACCCTGGTTAGTATGTGTTCAGCTTGGCGCCACCCTTGTGAACGGATAGGTTCTAGCACAGGGGTAGTCAACCTTTTTATACCTACAGCCCACTTTTGTATCTCTGTTAGTAGTAAAATTTTCTAACCGCCCATCAGTTCCACAGTAATGGTGATTTATAAAGTAGGGAAGTGACTTTACTTTATAAAATTTATAAAGCAGAGTTATAGCAAGTTAAAGCATATAATAATAATTACTTACCAAATACTTTATGTCGGACTTTTGCTAAGTTTGGCAGAATAAATCTTTATAAAACAACTTACTGTAATTAAATCTATCTTTTTATTTATACTTTGCATACATAGAAGCATGAAGTCTGATGAAATTACATTTAATTAATTAAATTATTAATGAGATCCCTGAGGCTGAGGCTGTGAAACTAAATACTGGATATCTGGCTCAATTTTTGTAAGGAACAAACGAAGGTCTCCTCTTTCAGAAATATTCAGGCAGTTTCTTTCTTTGGTCATAATATGATTAATAGCACTAAAGCCTGATTCCACAAGATATGAGGTAGGGAAAGGTATCAATAAACTGAATATCATTTTCCACATATTTGGATATAAGACAGGCATTTTTTTTACTTTGCTATAGGTTTTCATATCCACCACTATCGAATTTATGTTTACTTTCTTTATCATATCTAATTTCTAACAGTTCTTCTTGGCAAGTTGTATCAGCCTCTTCAATATTTGTGGTAAAAGGATGTTTCATCCAGTCATACACCTTCAATTTCAAAATATCTTCAAATTGTTTTTCTATGTCCAATTTAAGTTCGTTGAGGTGGCTACTGAATCTGTCAATATCCTCTGGAGTTACATCATCTTTTATAGATGATAATTCAGGAAACTGATGCAATTCTCTCTTCAATAGATTATAACAAAGTAGTTCAAGTTTGTCAATAAATAATGACACAATACTTTGGCAACTTATAAGAGTTTTATTAGCTCCTTGAAGCTGCAAATTGACATCATGAAATCTCTTGAAAATATCTGCCAAATAAAAGGCATCATTCTGTATCGTTTTAACTGTTGACACAGATTGGTCTCATTATTACTTTCAAAAAATTGTATGACACTATCATATAATGCTACAAAACGAACCAAAGATGTACCCTTTGACAGCCACTGAACTTCTGTGTGCAAAAGTAACATAATAAAATCTTCATTATTGTCCTGGCAAATTTGTCGAAACATTCTATCATTTTTTGCATTGGATTTGATCTTGTTTATGGCTCGAATTATTATAGTTAATGATGAATGGAGACTTGTACTTAGATGTTTTCCTACAAGAGGTTGTCTGTACACCACACAATGAATACATAAAACATTTGGCACTTCTTCCTTCAAATAAGCAACAAATCCACGATAGTGACCTACCATTGATGGTGCTCCATCAGTAGCGCATGCAACAATATTATTCAAAGTAATATTATTTTTTGTAAAGTATGATTTCACAGTACTAAATATAGATAATCCTCTTGTATCTGTAATGAGATTTATTGCAAATAGCATTTCTTCTCGTAATGTATTGTTTTCATCAAAATAACGTACCTATGCTATCAATAAAGCATTATTATCTGCAATGGTAGACTCATCCAATTGCATGGAAAATGAAGAGTTTTGGAGAATACTTATCAGTTTTTTTTCAACATTAACTGCCATTTCTTCAATTCGTCGCTTTACTGTGCTATCGCTTAGGGGCAACGTTTTTAAAATTTCAGGTGTATCCTGATGCATTACCGTTGAGATAAATTCTTTTATAGAGGGTATTATTACAGTTTCTCCAATATTATAGCTTTTACCACTTTTTGCAATTAATTGTGAAATGCGATAAGTGGCAGTTAATCCATCTTCGTTCGCTGCATGTTGTTTCTTAAATGATGCAACGATTGTTGAACGATTTTTAATTCTTTTATATATTTCCTGAAAATATTAAATGGGCTTGTCCTTATCATTTGGATGCTTTGTAGAAAGATGTTCTCGCAATCGACTTGGCTTCATTGCCTCATTGGATAATGTTTTATGACACAGTAAACACATTGGATGTTGTTTATTTACAACAGATTCTATGAAACCCATCTTCAGATACTCTGGCAAATAGCCACGAGCGTATTTCTTTTTTTGAGACATGGACTCACAATATTTTGTTTGAAGCTGTAGGCACGTGCTCACTCTCACAAATCTAACTGCATACTGACCAGTGTGACCGCAAACAAAAGAGCCTGCACTGTGTATCGTCATCTGCGCATGCCTCTCACGCATCATGGATTGGGTTTGGGGGGGGGTGCCGACTACCAGCTCTGCTTGCCTGTTACAGCTGGGTGGTGTGGGGGGAGATGCGCGAGCTATTCTGAGACAAGGCTCTTTTGTGTGCAGTCGCACTATAGAGCCATTTAGTTTCACTTACATAACGTGAACTAAACTTATGCGCGTGCGATACAAATAGTATATTTTCAGAAATTTCAATTGTCACGGGGAATTTTATGAAAACCTAATGAAAATGTTTTTAAATAATGCTATGAAATTTTTTTAAAAAGTCAATTAAATTAAAAAAAAGGAAAGTGCTTCAGTATTGGACAAAACCCCTACCGCCCACCACGAAAGCTGGAACGCCCACTAGTGGGCTGTAGGGACC